TAATAACGCGATAATTTTGACAGCACTAATATATATATATATACATATACACACCGGTAGAGGAAAGCTTTCCGCTTATGCAAAATCCTAGGTGGTTTTCCCAACTAAATGTAAGAGAAGAGCAATGAGTGAAATACAGAAAGCGTAGGGGAGGAATCGAAGAAGAGTCTGGAAAAAGAAATGAGATTCAAGGAAATAGATTATTTTAGATTCTTTTAATTTAACTGGCGTGTTAAGCAATAGGGCTGGGTAAAAAAATCGATTTAATCGATTTTGAATCGATTCCTTTACATTTTTGCAAAATTGAGGTCTAGGGAATTTGATCAATTAATTTTATAGTGATGTTCACGTTCAAATAAGCAGGAAAGATGCTTTCAAGATGACTTCAAGCCAGACAGCTGCAAATATAGCCAATAGGTTGACTGAAGACATTAACAAATGGGGGCTGAACAGAAAACACCCTGTAGTTATTACAGACAACGCTGCAAATATAGTTTGTGCAGTGAAGATAATGCATCTCATGAGTGTCTGTGGTGTTTCACGTCTGCTCGCTCGACTGAGGCTTCACTTTTTCACTTTTCACAAACAAGTTTGCATTTTTGTGACAGTTTTGTTCACATCTCCTGTTTAAACTGTCTGATTTACAAGTTTGCACTTTATGTTTAGTGTAACAGGAAAAACTAAAATACATGGGTGTTTTGAAACACAGTTGAACCACCTTCATTATTGTAAAAACATCTTACCGAAATTAATCGATTTAGAACTGTATGAATCAAAATCGAATCGATTCAGGACTTTGGCAAAAATACCCAGCCCTTTTAAGCAACACAATAATATATTTCTTTTGTTAATAGACGCTGCAAATTGGGCAAGTTTTCACCCCTCCTCCAGGAAGGCCTGCCCCCAAATGCAAAGAGAATGGAGAATGGTGTGAAATCCAGTATTTAAAAAAAAATGCAATTCATTAAACTCAATCTGACAAAGAGGAACATCAAAGAAAGTGGAAAATATCTGTAAAAAAATGTTTTTGTTAACATCTTTTGAAAAAAACAAAATCAGGGAAAACTGCAGTGTTACTCTTTTTTTTTTTTTATTAAATGTTTTTCAAAGTTGGATTTCTGGATTGGCCTTTATTTATTCCAATATAAAAAAAATTGTTTTTCTTTCAAATTTCTATTTAGGAAAACATGGGAACATAATTCACTCCATAGTCCAGCGCCCTCTAGTGGATAAGAACTTTTACACAGTCTTGCTTTAAGTTTGATTTTAGGGGGATTATATGGGAGAATTATCCTGCCGTAATGCAAGAGCACATAATTTCAATTTGAGAAAAGAATCTCATCTTCTTGCACTCAAAACTTAT